TGAAATATTTACGTTTGTAACTTTATCTTATTTTATTTATTAACCGGTTTCGTTATTTGCATTTTGGAACGTTGGGAACGAAAGCGGAATTTTTTTTCTCTTTTCGTGCCCAATCGTGGTTAACTAAAAATCAATTAGCAAAAGTCTCCAATTTAATGAATATGCAAAAACTTGTAATGGTTCTTCTTGTGAGTGAAAACTTTGCGCAACTTTCCTCGTGATTTTCGTTTCAACGTTACGAACAGGTTGAAGAAAGATATCGTGAAATTTTCGACTCTGAATATCGGCGATCCTGCTCGCGGAATATACGGTTAGAGTCGTGAATTAATTAACAACTCTGAAAGCTTTGCGTCCGATATAGTGTAAAATAAAAAAAGAAGAAAAAAAACTATTTTCCATTCCGTCGGTGAATATTATTCGAGAACATCTCTGCAACGTCTCTGAATAAAATTTAAAGAAAAAAAAAAATCTCGCTTGCTGCTTGCCTGCTTACCTACCACTAGCTTCGAGAATGAAAGATTCTTTTTCTAAAAAAAAAAAAAAAAAAAAAAAAAAGAAAAAAAAGAAAGAAAGAAAGGAGAAGAACGTCGAAAAAAAGTAGTCAAAATTTTTCGTAGAAATACGTGGATTTATTGAAACATTTACATCCTCGTTTTGCTCGCGTCGTTTCTGCGTCGGTCCCCGGCCCGAAAACTCGCGAGGGCCGTGGACGTAATTTCCGCTGTGGCGCGTACGTGTTATTTACATCTCAGCCCACATCCAGAATCACCACACCACAGATCGCATCGAGCAAAGTGATTCTCAAGATTCGCTCATCCCCGGCCAGAAACGACACACTGAAAAAAATGTATCCGAAGCGGCGATTCGAACAAGTAAGTGGTAAAAGTTGTTGTTGTTGCGGAACAAGAAGAAAGGCAACGGGAAGAGGGAGAGGGAGAGGAATAAGAGGAGGAGGAGGAGGAGGAGGAGAAGGAGAAAGAGAAGGAAGTTTCGAGAGGTTTCGACGGGGCAAGTAAATGGGAATGAAGGGTGTTTCGATCCCCTCCCCCGGCCGAAAACACACCGGGGAAACGTACAGCGGGCGAGGAGAAGCGTGGAGGAATGCCGGAACAATGCACAGGAACAATGAAAGCGTAAACATGGCGATGAGATTTCGTGACTTCGAGATTTTATCGTTTCGCGCGCAGGCGCGTACGCGATCGCATCCCAGTTTCGCGTGATCGCCGTTCAGAGTCTCGAGAATCTCGCCTACGATTCCGCGCGCGCTCGATCGGGAGAGGCTGAACGACGAAACGAGGGAACGAGCGTGCGAAACTTTCTCCTTTTCTTACTCCCTTTCTCACTCTCTCTCTCTCTCTCTCTCTCTCTCTCTCTCTCTCTCTATGCTCGTATCGTTTTTTGCTCGGTTTTTTTCGCGGTTTTTTTCTCACCGCGGTTCGACGACGAACAGCGGTGAAGAAGAATGAAGGGCGGAGGAGAGAAATAGTACAAGTCGATAAAAGGAAAAACCTAGAAACACACTTGGATCCGACGATTAAGATATCATTATTATTATTATTATTAATATTATTATTATTAATATTATTATTAATTATTATTATTATTATTATTATTAATATTATTATTATTACTTTTTTTCTCCTTTTTTTTTTTTTTTTTTTTTCCCCTCGCAACGGCGATCATCGGCGATCATCCGCGATGCGCGCTGCTCCCCGGCTCTCGGTCTCCTCTATTTACAGGGCGTTTCGTGGAGGGGCGTGTTTCAAAAGCAACCCCCCCGTTTACCGGTCGTGGAATCGACTGGGGTGGTCGAGACTCGAGGGTGACTCCAGCTGCCAGGCTCTCGGAAAGGAGGGAAGGGAGAGAGTGATGCTTTTGAAACGCGCTGTACAATGCTCTCGATGCTGCCTCTCTCACTCACGTACGATCATCATTCGCTCTCTCATTCGCTCGCAGTTTTTTTATGTNATATATATAGAGCTCCCTGTAACATATATAATTATTGTACATCGTACACGTTAGGTTGTGCGGCTATCTACACGTATCATACAAAAAAAAGAAAAGAAAACACTGTGGACGTGTCCTGCCTCTTTGTCGACGCTTCGAAAAGAAAACTCTCTCGGCGTTCCGTTTTCTTCTTTCGTGTCGTGTTGCGTCGCGCGATTCGCGAGCGTATCGTACGAGGAGGAGGATTTTCGAGTATAACGTTACGTACGAATACGCGCGTCTCTACTACGAGGGGGAAATGCACAGGCGTGAACGTCACTTTCGCAAGCCTACGTTCGTTAATTTAGAGTTATTCTCGCGGTTTTTTTTTTTTTTTTATCACATTTTTCGCTCTACGCCGGCGCTCGAGCCAGCCAGCCAGCCAACCACTCATCCAACGAACCTCTCCTTCCCTTCGAGGTCTCGATTAATAAACTTCGAGACACGAATCGCAAACTCTTGGCGTCTTCGAGTCACGAGAATCGAATTTTCTTCCGAATTTTTTTTTTTTTTTTTTTTTGGAAGGGGAGGAAGAAAACTTTTCGACGAGTATAAAATTTAGAAATGAAAATTCAACGATGAGTTCAACGCTTAGTTAACTCGAAAAGAATCGTAGAAACGATTAAATACAAGATTCATGATGGTAATTAGAATTCGATTTCAGACGCGATCGTTATCACGGGACGGGATGATTTAAAAAAGTGACAAGATACTTTCACGAATCGTACAATTCATCTGTAATATTCTTATTCGAGATTCCCTTCCGCGCGTGGTTCCTTCTCTCGACGATACTCGTAGTAACATTTCAAAACTTTCGAAGATCGTCTTCGAAGATCGTCGTTATCGAATTTTTCCATGTTATCCGTTGCCAAAGAGAAATCGTTCGCGTTGTCATCTGCGCGATCCATTTTTGCGCGCCGTACAAAACTCGCGAGATATCACCACTTTATATCACGCCTCGATAAAATCTTCTAATCGTCGAATTTTAGCGTAAAATCGCGGCAGGAGGAAAATACGTGGAACGTAGGAAACGAAGAGAGAGATCAATGACCGGTGGAAAAATGGAATGCATCATCGAAGGTACAGATAATTCTAAAGAATCTTCGCTATCGCTTTCTAGTATCGCAATCTATACTCGGTAAACAATCGTCTGGCGATTGTTCGTCCTTTGTTCCGGAGGAAATGCGTGGTCGAATGAGTCAGAGACGTTATAAATCATATGGATCGGCTGAAAACTCGAGGCTTCTTAAAAACTTAAAAAGTCGGTAACGATCCTCGAAGACGAGTCGAAACGAAATCGACGAACCACGAAACCACTGTAATTCGAATTTTTAATTCAATCGACGATCACCTGTCTCACCGCTGAAGCACGAGGAAAACGAAGAAGAAAGACACGGAGAGATAATTCGCGTCTCGAATACAGCGAAGAGAAGAATACAGAGATCCACCGACCAATTTTCCTCTCGAGAAGAAGGAAATTGCACTCGCGTTTTAAGAAAGGAAGGAGAGCAACGATTCGGGCGACTTCGTCACGCAGCCAGAGGATCGCCGGTGCATCGTTGTCGCGTATCACAGAAAAAAACCTATTCGTAACACTTGGAGGTGAACGTTTTTTTGGAATTGGAACGAGGCGGAAACTCGAGCGGGGAGGAAACGGATCGAGCGAACGGGGCCAATAACGAATTTCTTCGTTTTTATTTCCCCTCTAGATCGCAATCGATTCTACACACCTATCTCTCGATGAGTCACGCGATTCGAGTGGCGCTTGATCTCGATAGAACTTTACTTCCACTCCGTTTCACGGTGGAAAAAACGATGTCGGTACGACGTCGATCCACCTCGAGATCCAATTTTCCACTCGTATTTCATTTCCGTGGCAATGATAACTTTTTTTAAAAGCACGATTTCTTAGAAAAGCAAGATCGACGTCGTACTTGTGTAATATATATATATATATTGTGTGTATATTTTCTTCAATTATTTAGCTTTCATCGATGCAAAACAATTTCGAAATAATCGAAGAATCGCGAGTCTTTAAAGATCGTCCTTTCGAACGAATCAGGGAATTAACAGTCTCGTCGAAGCGAGCGAGAGAAAAGAAAGAAAGAGAAAAAGACGCGATTCTTCGATCATCGAGGAGGAAAACAGAAGCAAGTTCACGATCAAACCAAGTTCACTCTTTCCACAAAAAGAAACCGAAAATTCGCACCTGCCCAACTCGTTCGTCTCCCGATCCCGTGTTCCTCCAGTGGTCGAGTCGTCGAGACGCTCTCGTTGCACCCGCACACCTCACCGTCCCCTCTCACCTTCCCGACAACGACCGAAAAGATCCAGCCGCGCGATTCTCACCGATTCCGACGACCATCACCCCCGATCTTCCTCTTCCTCACATCATCGTCTCACATATCCTCCTCGTCCTCTTCCTCCTCCTCCTCCTCCTCCTCGTCGTAATCGTTCTCGTGCGCGACGGGCCAGCAAGCCTCCTCCACCTCGTTTTCCTCGCACCTCGGCCGCCGACGTTTCTGCGGCTCCTGCGATTCCTGCTGCGATCCCTGCTGCTGCTGCTGCTGCTGCTGCTGCGGTTGAATCGTCGCCGAGGCTCGAACGGACGTCGATTGCGACACAACGGGCGTCGGATGCGACGAGGACATGGACGAGGAGGACGAGGAGGAGGAGGAGGAGGACGAGGAGAACGACGACGACGAGGACGAGGAGGAGGAGGAGGAGGAGGAGGAGGAGGAGGACGACGAGGACGACGACGAGGACGAGGAGGAGGATGAGAACGAGGACGAGGAGGAGGATGAGAACGAGGACGAGGACATGGAGGACGAGGAGAAGGAGGATGAGGAGGAGGAGGAGGTAGGCGGTTGATGATGAAGAAGATGATGATGGTGATGATGATGATGGTGATGATGGGCGGGCGGTAGGACGAAATTGACGGTGGTCGAGGGATTGGTGGCGGCGTACGCCGCGGCTGCAGCGACTCAGGCTAGGGCGTAGGGATGGGTAGCGTGATGTCACAAGCCCGGTGCCGCTGTGGCGACGGTGGACGGCGGGGGCGCGCTGCTACTCGCCACGCTGGTCGCGTGATGGTACAACGGGCTTTGGTAATACTCCTGGTGGTGGTGGTTGGTCATGTTGTGCATAGGGGTTGCCGCGTTCGAGGCCGTGTGCATCCCGTTGTGATGGTGGTGGCTCGGGGGCGCGGAGTGGGCGTGCGGGTGATGGGGCGAGCCGAAGTTGGCGTAGCTCTGGTGCAACTGCTCGTACATCTTCATCTCGGGCGGCTTGATGTCCTGGGCGCCGGGCGAGGTGGCCGCCGTCGCGCCCGGCAGTAGCCTCGTGATGCTGAACGGGTGGCTGGCGGCTGTGTACGGCGGCTCCTGCTTCAGGCTGCCGGCCATCCCGTGGTGGAGGGCAGCGGCCGGCTCCGAGATGAGGTGAGGGTGAAGGCTTCGGCTGACCATCGCGGTCAACTCGTCGTGCGCCGCGCCGAGATCCGGGCCCAACAGGCCCCCTATGTCGGCCGCGTCGCTCTTCAGGCTCGCGTGATGTTGATGGAGGCTCGCCGCTGCCGCGTGATGGTGGTGATGGGAGGTGACCAGGGAGTGAAGATCCTTGTCGTCCTGTTGCTGGGCCCCGTGGTGGAGAGAAGAGGCCGCGCTCTTCTTCGCCGCGTGGGCAAGCTCGTGGGAGGTGGGGCTGTTGTGGCCGGCGGCGGCCGCGACGGCGACCGCGGCCGCCGCCGCCGCCGCCCCCGTGTGGTGCTGCTGGTGCTTGTTGTTCTGCCTGGTCAACTCCTTCTTCTCGTCCTTGAACCTCTTCTGCCTTCGAAGGTAGCACCCGTTCTCGAACATGTTCCCGCTCTCGGGGTGGAGGGTCCAGAACGAGCCCTTGCCCGGCTTGTCCGGGGTGCGCGCCACTTTCACGAAACAATCGTTGAAACTGAGCGAGTGCCTGATCGAGTTTTGCCAGCGTTGCTGATTCTGCCTGTAGAACGGGAACAGATCCATGATGAATTGGTAGATCTCGGACAGGGTGAGCATCTTGGTCGGCGCGTTCTGGATCGCCATCGTGATCAAGCTGATGTACGAGTAGGGCGGCTTCGCGTGGGTGTAACTCCTCCGATAAGATTTGTCGGTCCTCGCCCGCTGAAGGGCCGAGTTGGGCGAGTCGGGCTCGGCCAGGGAGAGCGGGTCCCTGGTCACACCGGCGCCGCCGCCCGGCGTCAGGGGCCCGTATCCGACGGCGCTCATGCACGCGCCACCGCCGCCCATCGACGCGCTCCCGTAGCCGCCCATGCCACCGCCGCCCATCGAGGCCATCCCCATGGCCGAGCTCATGGTGCTCATGTTGAAACCGCCGGCGCCTTGGGGGCTGCAGCTCGGCCCGACTCCGACGCCCATCGACATACCCATCGGCATGCATCCCACCGAGTTGATCGAGCTGTACGTCGGCGCCATGCTGCCCATCGTGGACATCGCGGCGCTGGTCATCGCGCCGCCGAGGCTACCAGCGTCGCTGTACAGCTTCTGCGACTGGAGCATGGTCATAGAGCTAACCGGTGCCGGGGTGGCGGGCTGCTGTCTGCTCGTCAAACGAGAATCATGAAAACCTCGGTACCACGGCTGCTGCTGGTAATGCGACGAGTCCCTAATCTTCTCCTCGGGGAGGAAAATCCTTGCCACCCCTCCGAAACGCAGCCCCTCGATCGGCACTCTTCTCCTCTCTCTCTCTCTCTCTCTCGCTTCTCGGAGGAGCTCTAGTTCCGCTCGCTCTCTTTCTCTTTCCTCCTCCTCCTCCTTCTCCTCCTCCTCCTCCTCCTCCTCCTCCTCTCCTCCTCCTCCGCCTCCTCCTCCTCCTCCTCCTCCACCTCTCTCTCTCTCTCTCCCTCTATGTCTGGTCTCGAATCGATTCACAAACGTACGTACGAAACGACGAACGAAAAACTCTCACTCTCTCCCTCGACGTCCAGTCCTTGAACGATCGGAATAAATCACATCGGAATAGCGCGCACTCGATATATAATACGTGTATGTATTTTATATATATATATATATATAAAATATGTGTATATATATATTTTTCACACAGAAGGAATCTCGTTCGTCGAGATATATCTATACATATATATATATATATATATTTGGATATCGCGTTCGACGTCTGGTCACGCTCGGAGACACGATTCCATCGGAACGATCACTTGTCACCGCGATCCACGATCGTTTGGACAACGCGGCGCGACTGTGGTGGATCGGATCGGACGCGGGCTGGTCGCGCGCGTCCACCAGCGAGAGAACGGTCCGTACGTGTGCTCGAGCCGCCTCGCCTCACCACTCACCTCCCTCATTCACCTCGGTCTCTCGATGTCTCTCTGTCTCTCTGTGTGCCGTGTGGATGGAGGCCGGTTAGCGAGTGTACTCCGCTACTCTTCGGTCTCCCGATCTTGTTCAAACACGCCCCACTCCGTCCCGCTGCGCCGCGCCCGTTCCACGTTGCCCGGCCAATGGGCGCGCGGCACGCCCCACCACGCGCCCGCGCCCGCCAATCGGACCGGAGCGGAGGGTGTTGAACGTGTCCCCTTCGTATCGCGTGAATCTGTGGCGCGATAATGCGAGCGGTGGAAGAGGCAGGCCGGCCGGCTTCGCCCGACCGCCGGATCGCGCAGCTGCGGAAATCGCCGCTTGCGCAATATCCAACGCCGGGATATCCACGATGCCCGGCCACCGCCGCGTCCCAAACGCCGCGTCCCAAACACGCTCCTCTCTCATGTCATGTCAACTGTCTGTCTGCCACGCGTTTCACACCTATCGACGCGCCTCACGCCACGGCCTTCCACGCTTTTCTTTCCTCTCTTCTTCTTCTTCTTCTTACTATTATTATTATTATTATTATTATTATTATTATTCTTCGATTTTTCTTTTATTTTGTTGTATCCTTTTTTGGAAATTTTTCCCTTCGCTTTTTACTTTCTTCCCCCCTTTCTTCTCTCTTCGTCGCGTTACTCGCTCGCTTATTACTCGCGTGGCTCGCTTCCGCTGCTATCGTCCTTTTGGCTGGTGTTAGTGGGGTTAATTCGAGACACTTTGGACAGTGGTTTTGCGAATTCGTGGCTGTGGTGCGATTCGATTGTTCACGCGGTATTTATTATTATTGGTGAAGGACGAAGAGGAGAAGAAGCTGCTCGTCGAGCTGGGACGATTTGGAGAAGTATTCGAAGAAGGTTCGTGAAACGTGTGATTCGAAATTGATTTCTTTGCTTTTAGTTTTCTAACGAAGTTTCTTCGTATTCAAAATTTCTCGAATATCGTGTAAAGATGATTCGAATGATTCGCGGTTCGTTCGATTCCATATATTTTTCTCCCTTTAACGCCCGTCATCCGTCCCGATCGTTCCGTTTTATTCGGTCGAAATATTATCGAAAAGAAAACGTTTTCCATCTTTCCATTATATTATTATCCATTATATTTTATGATTCGAGAAGATCAAGGAATAATTCGATTTAAAATTAATCGCTTTCTCGACTTATCCCATAAATCCAACAACGGACGGAAATTGAAAAGGTTTAATCGTAGCGAGTTATTTTTTTGAATCACATGGAAAAATAGATGGTTTTAACGAACGACGTTTTAAATATCGAAGCAAATTACAGAGAGTTTGGACCGGTTTACGTAAGAATACGCGGCCGCTTTCATTACCTATGTCAAAGCTAGATAACTCAAATAGGCCCCGATAACATTTAATTACAACAACAAATATATACACGCATAATATTTATCTATATCCGTATAACTGATAATTCTAAACATTCAACGTAAATTTGTCGATATTTACGATCGAATTAAGCCTCTTCTAACTATAAGTACACTCGAATTCCTTCTCAGGAAGGAGAATTATCAAACAATCTTGGCTTATTTTAACAAGGGACGGATCAAACAGATACATTTTCCTTATTTTCCCTCCCCCTTCCTTTCTTTACAAGAAATAATTTTGTTCCCGCGATCGACATAGATGGAAAAAAGTTTTCGAAAATGGCGAATACGTTCGCCGCGTAGAAAATCAACGATAAACGCCGGATGGTGTTTCAGCATCCGACAATCGAGTTTTGCAATCGAATTTTCCGCTTTTTCCGCCACGCCGTCCCCCCCCCCCCCCGGATCAACGCCGATTAATCGTTTATCGCGCCTCGAATAATTAACCGTCCCACGGCCCATGAATATTAAACGGGCGTAATAAAAAGAGATCGAATTTTCGGCCGATAATTCGGTTAGCTTAACTCGATCCAGTCGCGCGATTTCCCTCCGTCGCGACGCGACGCGTCCATTCCAGAGCCGACCCTCCATTTCCTCCTCGTTATTTCGCCATTCCTCCTTTCTTTCCTCGTATTTATTATCGAGAATCGTTTACCTTTTCTTGAAGCGATCCGTGTGAACGAAATATCGCTCGTTTTGATCGTTTCGAAATTTTATTAAACAAGGACAACTTGTTTCGTAACATACGTGCAATCGTTCGTTGCGATACTTCTTCCGACGGGAAGATTTTTCTCGTAACGATTTCATTTGATCGATTGACGGAAAGAAAAGGAAGATGTTTGGGAATTCTTCTTGTTAAAAGGAAAATTAATAATAAGAAGAATTGCGTGGATAGAAATGGAATCGTGAGCGAATTTGTTCTTGATTATTTTTTCGAGGAAGTGCCAAGTACGGTCTAATGCGTCGTCCTGTGTGCGCGACGCGAGACCTCGAAGGGAACGGAGAAGGAGAGCGTCGAAGGGTGGTGTCGATGTGTCGCATTTGTTCAACGACTTAACACGTCTCTCCCTCCCCCCCCCCCTCCTCCCCTCCCCTCCTCTCCTCCCCCAGTGGTGTAAATCACCGAACGGTGACCCATTTTGCTCGCAACGGATGGAGAAATCTCGGTTTCGCACCGGCCGTTAGAGACGAGAGAGCGAAAAAGTTACGATATTTTTTTTTTTTTTTTTTTTCCAAAGTAGAATTATGCAGTTCCTCGACCTCGGGAGGAGAGGGGAAAAAAAAAAGAGAAAAAATTCTGCTCGCATACGTAAGTGAGATACGTGGAAAAATAACGACTGCTGCGACGAGGGAAGCAAATATTCCGCGGAAACGAAGTAATGCAAATTTCAAGACTCGAAGTGCAAACGCGACACCGTTTCAAACCGTACAATGTGGCGCGACATTATTTATGATAAACAGCGGGGCAGACCAGCGCTAATAATTTCACAGATTGTTACACGGCGCGATCCACTGTGATCCGCGATGAATTAAATAAACGGGTTAGTCGCCGATTAATCGACGACTAGTTTCTCGCCCGGTTAAACGAAACCAGGCGATCGAAATTGTTGCGCTAATTTTTCTCTCCTCTCAACTCGCGTCCAAATAACGCGCACAATTAGAAGAATCGTTTGAACATTATTGTGAATATATTCGGGTAAGGAACGTAGTATCGCTCGATGTAATGACTAAAAATTGTTGCACGAGTTAAGTCTTCATCGGTTGACAAATTTTCTCTTCTCTTGAGAATCGTTCGAACATCATCGTCGATATATTCGGGTAAGGAACATAATATTACTCGATGTAATAACTAAAAATCGTTGCACGAGTTAATTTTTTAATTTTCGTCGGTTGACAAATTTTCTCTTCTCTTGAGAATCGTTCGAACATCATCGTGGATATATTCGGATAATATCGACGTAATGACTAAAAATTGTTGCACGGGTTAATTTTTCATCGGTTGATAAATTTTCTCTTCTCTTCTCTTCTCTCGAGTTCAAATAAGTGCATTGTGAATATATTCGGATAAGAAACGTATCACTCGATGTAATCGCGAGAAATTATTGCACGAATTAATTTTTCATCGGTTAATTTTCTCTTCTCTCGAGTTCAAATAAATGCACAATTGAAAACTAAACATCGTGAATATATTCGGGTAAGGAATATAATGTCACTCGATGTAATGACGAAAAATTGTTACACGAGTTAATTTTTCATAGGTTGACAAATTTTCTCTTTTCTCGAGTTCAAATAAGTGCACAATTAGAAGAATCGTTTGAACATCATTGTGAATATATTCGGATAAAAACGTAATATCACTCGATGTAATAACTAAAAATTGTTGCATGAGTTAATTTTTCATCGGTTAATAAATTTTCTCGTTCGGGTAAGAAACGTATCACTCGATGTAATCGCGAGAAATTGTTGCACGAGTTAATTTTTTAATTTTCGTCGGTTGACAAATTTTCTCTTCTTTTGAGAATCGTTTGAACATCATCGTGGATATATTCGGATAATATCAGTCAATGTAATGACTAAAAATCGTTGCACGAGTTAATTTTTCATCGATTAATTTTCTCTTCTCTCGAGTTAAAAATAAGTGCACAATTGAGAATCGTTCGAACATCATCGTGAATATATTCGGATAATATCGACGTAATGACTAAAAATCGTTGCACGGGTTAATTTTTTAATTTTCGTCGGTTGACAAATTTTCATCGTGGATATATTCGGGTAAGGAACTTAATGGCACAACTGAGAATCGAACCTCATCGCGAATACGTTCGGGTAAGGTAATATCGCTCGATGATCCGTAGTTATGCGGTGAAAAGGGATGCGTGCGGGCTGTGTCGGCCGATTAAAATCGCGTGCTGGAAAAGCTGGGCTTCCGCCGACGCGGGGGATTAACATTATTGCAGGGCCGCCGCAAAGTGCATTTTTAACTTTATTAAGCCGAGGCTAATACGGTTCGCAAACACGTC